GGCCGGCGGGAGCGGGGCGTCCGGGAGCCGGGCCCGCAGCCGTAGCGGTCCTGAGCGCTTACAGTAAATTACCTGGAGACGTTTTCGGGAGCCTCCCAGGAATCGCCCTGCCGCAGGAAGAGGGGGCGCGCACACTTGCACCCGTCTCTCCTGAAGATGAGCACTTCGCGACAACTGAACTAAAACGACTCAAGCGCAGTCTTCTGAGAGCGCCTTACTCACTCAACTCCGGCCGTGAAAATACAAACCGCCCTTTAAACCCTAGGCACAGACCTGGCTCCGCGACTCTCCTGCTTCTGGCGCAGCACACAAGACCGGCTCCCGGGCGCCACTCACCTGGTCGGAGCGGCACCGGCGGGCGCGGAGCCCCGGGCCGGGCACCGGGAGGGGCCGAGCTGACGGGCCTCTGAAGCCCGCCGTGGCCGGGCGCTGCGTGCAGAGCTCAGGCAGCGCCGCGGCCGCAGGCACTCTGAGCCGCGGAGCCAGCGCCGAGCGGTGATTTACGGCTTTCTAACCACACCCCTCCGCAGCCTATTCAGGCTGAGGCTCGCTGAAGTCCCGACATACAAGCCATTTACATTCAGTGACCTCCTGTTGCCCTTTTTCATGGATTTAAGACCTTTACTTCCATAATTTCTCCTCTTAAATTAGCACTAAAGCGAAGATTAACTGTTTCCTAAATCCACCCTTTTCACAGACAGTCATTCAAGGTATATTACATACTTCACACACATAATTTACTTACAGTAGTAGACTTCCCTCTCTTCCCACCCTGTTGCATTAAGTCATCTGTGCAACAGGTTGGTGGTATAAAATGCATTTTCTAAAACAAAGATTCAGATATCTGTAAAGAATTGTGAACTATTAACACAACAGCTGAAGAGGGCAAACATACTGGTCTCTCTCTCACAAGAAACGCTGACTACTTATTACGCTCTCAAGAGGAGCACAGAATGACGCTATAGCCAGGAATGTCCAGCCCGCCTCCCCCCCTTTTGCAACTACACCTCTGAGATGTATATTCAAACCATCCACCTCCTTTCTTAAGATAAGACCATTTTACTGCTTGTTTCAACCCAGACATGGCCTGTACACATTTAGTGTGCTATTGTTCACCACAGGCTTCCCTCTAATTAATAGTTCATATTGGTCCTCACACAAACTGCTTTGCCTTCTCGCCTGTTAATGCGAGTCAATGAGACAGAAATACCCTTTGCTGCTAGATAAAACCTTTTGTTTATGAAATTATTTTATTTAAAGCCAGAGGCCTACATCACTTGAGAATTTTCTTGTCATTTAATGACTGGCTAATTACAGTGACAAAGAATAGCTTTCTCGAAAAAAAGGTCTCATAAGAAGAAAATAGCTTCAACAGTAGAAGATAGATATGCAGAACAGTCTTACCTAAAGGTCTCACCTATCTTACCACAGCATCCCTAACTTTAGGCATTTGGGTCTGAATATGTTGTCCTGTCTATGCCATTTTCTTTGAAGCCCTCTACCTTTAGCAGTAATCAAGTAAAATTGTGCTGATTTCCATTTCCTCATTTTTTGGTTTGGTGGGGTTACTTTTTAGGAGAGGATCACTGCCTTTGTTCAAACTGAATCTGTTGGACAGACTGGATCAGCAAAGTTAATAGTTTTTTGTGTGTTTTTTATTTTTTTTTCCTATCGTTACTCACACACCTGTACTCAGTGTATCTGAAGATCTGGTATTCTTTCCAGTCTTCCTGGAGCCAACCTCTTTGTCAGTAAACCCCCTTTGGTAAAGTATACCCTTTACAACAATCCGATAATTATAGATAGAACATTCATTTTGAAGAAATTATCTCAAGCACCTTCAGCTGTATCACCAACTTAACCAAAGGGCTTTGGCTTAAATGGAAATCAAGGCACACTCAGTTGAGTCTTAAAGTACTGTCTAGATCTGGTATTTTTTCTTTAATGTTGTATTTTTCTTCTTCGTATTAGCTCAATTTTTCACAAGCTGCCAGGTTAACAGTTCTCTCTTGTTTTGCCACAGTTACTCCAGTTGTCCAAAGCAATTTTGATAACACTTTTTTTTTCCCCTCTTGTCAGAATTCATAAGCCAACTTTCTTTAAATGATACTGTTTCACAGCTATCACAGAATCACAGAATCGTTTAGGTTGGAAGGGACCTCTGGAGATCATCTAGTCCAACCTCCCTGTTCAAGCAGGGTCACCTAGAGCATACTGCCCAGGATCACATCCAGACGGGTTTTGAATATCTCCAGGGAAGGAGACTCCACCACCTCTCTGGGCAACCTGTTCCAATGCTCTGTCACCCTCACAGTGAAGAAGTTTTTTCTCAGGTTCAGGTGGAACTTCCTGTGGTTCAGTTTCTGCCCATTGCCCTCTTGTCCTGTTGCTGGGCACCACGGAGAAGAGGCTGGCCTCATCCTCTTGACACTCCCCCTTCCGATACTTGTACACGTTGATGAGATCCCCTCTCAATCTTCTCTTCTCCAGGCTGAACAGGCCCAGCTCTTGCAGTCTTTCTTCATAGGAGAGATGCTCCAGCCCTCTAATCATCTTGGTAGCCCTCCGCTGGACTCTCTCCAGGAGGGCCATGTCTCTCTTGGACTGGGGAGCCCAGAACTGGACACAGTACTCCAGGTGAGGCCTCACCAGGGCTGAGTAGAGGGGCAGCTCTCTGCCTATCCTATATCCTACTGACATTAGCTTTTCAGGGTCAAATACTTCTCCGTATGTATGTTACGGAAGCAGTTATTGGGAGAGGAAAGTTCTTGAAAAAGACTGAGAGCTGTCATGGATATCGGTAGAATCTTTCCATAAGAAAGCTCAAGTAAGATAAAGTTTAGTAAAGTTAAGAGAGAAAATAATAAACATAGAGAGAGCTCAAATATGCAGTTGGAAAGAAGAGGAGAGAGCAGATGAGAAAATTAGCTTTAGCAAAATTAAAGGAAGCTCACACTTGGCATTTCTGAGCTGTGCTTTTATTTCTCCCCTCCCCATAGCAATCCCACTTTGGATTCCTAACAAACAGGCAGGAGCAGTAGGAAAACATTACTGCTCTTGGCATTGCCATGCACCTTTTAACAATAACCACTTTCAAGCCAGGAGAAGTTCAGGTAAATGTAAAAGAAGACAGTTTCTCAAAGGATTCGCTGGTGGTAGGACATAACTCACCACTTGTGGCTCACCGATGGACACAGACACCACACTTCAGTAACTTCTTCTCCCCCAGTTACAGAAAATTGTAACATCACACTGACACTGAACAAAACCTAGTAGTTATGACCTCAATTCAAACCAATTTCACTTAAGATGAGGCCTAGACCCATGACAGAAACTCACTTAATCGTTTTCAATTTCCCAGATGCAATGACACTGAGTTACTGATGAACTAGGAAAGCAGGCAAATCTTGAACGGCTTGATAGCACTCCGCAATATCTTTTGTCATTGCCAGTTATGCAAAATCAGGTAAGTAGAGAGGACAGGGAATGAGAAGTAAAAAAAATGTTTTGGGCACAGTGACACACTCCATGATTTCACTGTCACAAGGAACACTCTATGGAGATTTCCCATAGGATATTTCATGCACAATCTTTCTTCAAAATATACTGGGGGGGGGAGGGGAAGGAAAGGGAAGGAAAAAGGAACCAAACAAAAACTGACCGTGATCCTGCACTGGGCACCAAAATGTCTCATTAACAAGTCCTGTGCAAGAAAAATAGAATTATGATGAGAATACAGTAACAGTAGTTGACATACTGGGATTATACTTACAGTTATGACACTCTGACCCACTTACTTCCTACATGATGTATACTTAAATTTTTCGAAATGTATATCACAATGCTAGAGATTATCACATAAAAGAATGTGCAAGTACTTCATCAGCTTATCAAGTGGAAGACGCTACAGAAGCACACACCACTATACTCCTCACTGCATAAAGGAAAATATTTTGCTTCTCTGTCTAAACAATATATACCACAGCTTAGGTAAGGACATGTCAAACCATGCTAAAAATTCAAATCAGTTTTAGCATATAAGATGCTCTCTATTGACTTATTTCAAAAATCCAGGAAATTTTCAGGCAGTGTAATTACATAGGAAATAATGTCATGGTTCATTGTCATGTTTTTATGAATAAGAACTAGAAAAGGAGCAGTAATTTCCTTAGTTACATGACTGGGTGCTAAGTAATGGGACTGGTAGCTGGGCAGTCCTACATAAACTGTGATTACTCTTGAATGAGTCATTACATCCTTTTCCTAGTAGTTTTATTCTGTCTTCAGATGTAAATGAAAGTTGGTCTTTGTCTTTTCTGTGATAAGTTACACAACACATCCTTGTACACACTTGATATTAAACTTTTAACAGAAATTTGCCTGCGACCTTTAAGGAAGAGGAACTTACAGGCCTGCCTACGCTAGGTAAACTAGGTAAGTACATTAGTTGTGAGTCGATTTGAATTAGATTAGACTCCTTGTTGCAAGATTTTTGGCCTCCTCATATTTTATGAAATCTACTTTTGGAAATGGGTTTACTGAGATGTGGGATGAAGTCTGGAAGCATCCATGTTCTGAGACTACCCCAGTGCCTTTGCCAAACCCTCCCACTGGTATCCTATGCTGACCTCCCGTCCACCTTAATCATCTTTTTATCTATACAGCATCATGCTATCTATGTATTTCCTTGTCATAAAAATGTTAACAGTGGAGTGCTGTCCTGCGTGACATCCTAGGGAAGCTAAATACCCAAGAGTATGCTGACGATCCCTGTCCATGCATCACACACTGCTGCAGCCTTGTATGGTCATCCTCAACTTCTGCTGTCTCCTTGTAGGAGAGGAGCGTGTACAGGTGCATCTTTCCACCTACTGCAAAAAAATCTATACAAGCAGCTATCTGAACAGATGAATGAAGAGGAACGTAACCAGGACTCAAGCCAGTGCTAAGACTTTATATCTGCTTGTTGTAGCTTGTGTACACTAATTGCGTTAAGAACTGAATACTTGCCAATTCTTGGGAGAGCATTTTTGTTACTGCGAGCCAGGCTCATTTTGAAAGAGATGATGGGATGAAAAAAGAGGATTCATGAGAATTTTTCAGTTTGACCCTAAATTTCAGAATTCCAGTCTTCCTAAAATAGCTAGGAGGAAATCCATCTACTTTAAGAGCACTGCTGTGCAGCTGCAATGATAAAATGAAGAAGTAACTACACCAAGATTACGACATGCTATGCATGGATTGCTCAGACAGCAGTGGTTGCAGATTTCCTAAAAAAACAAAAGTCAAAGCAAGTTTCTACTATAGACTTGTTTTAGAAGAGAAAGGTCCCAAGCAAACAAAATGCTACATTCTCTTAACTCCCATGGATGCCCTATGGACAAAATAATGCTCAGCATAAGTGCTGGTTAGGAAATCAAGTTTATTCACTGATAATTTTCAAGTTAACCGAAGACAAATCAGGCCAAATTAGAATGACAACACCAAAAAGTGAAAAATGCTCCGGTGCTTGGAATCCCACAATATTTCATTTGAAAAATATGAACTATGGCAAGTGTCCTTGCTAAGATTCCCCCTAGTTGCTAACTGAAACAGACAAATTTAGCCAGCAGCTCCCTAGGCTTCCATGATAAAGCTACCAATATCCAGTCTTGCTTTTTGGCCTGTTTTAGGTCTGGAGACCCAAGGTCTTTCAGAAATCCCAAACAGCTATCTATTATGAGTCAGAGTCAAGAAGCCTTGTGATCTGTAGCCTCAAAACAGTTTTGCAACCAGAAATGTCCCACAACTGATGGTCCTGGAAATAACGCTGTAGTAACGCAGGAGAGTTGAAGGAGTTATATAACCCTTAGCTGATCTGGTGAAAAACTGAAGCATGAACATGCTGTTACTTGCTAGCGTTTTTGGCTACAACACATTTATTTCTTGTGCACCTAGCAGAGGGCAAACTCAGTTCATGTCATACTAGATGTCTGACCCTCATTCGCTACTGGCTAAAAGCCTCAGTTCTGATAAATCAGTATTTTCCAATAGGAACTGGTTTACTGTTAAACTCCTCTAATACGTAGCTCACAAAAATGTGAGTCTTAAGTCAGAAAGAAGCTGGAAGCTTTGGAAGAAATTTTCACTGCAGTTATCAAAAGCTGGCAGAACTGACTACTGCAGAGGTCCACGCGTTCTGAGTCAGCTAATACCGGCCACGGCTAGAACCAAAACACTGAATGAAAAACAGCCCTTGCCTGATACAGTGAAAGAAAACTGATCATCTTTAACAACTCCCAACTAACAAATCCACTTTACACTAGAAAAATGAATTATTGCACGTATTCTTTGACAATAACATGTTGTCTCATCAACAACCTTCAATTTGGTACTGAAAGCCATATCAAATAATTTGTGCTGGCATAGATTAGACAGTCCTATTTCAAAAGTTTCATGAACATGGTTACAACTGCACTAAAACCACTTTTCTTTTGTTGACTAATTTTGGTAAATGACATAATAAACCAGAAGAAAAGACCAGGAGGAAGCTGGACATGGTTTTATGGTTTCCTTCTCACCAGCAGGTCTATTTTCCTCTCTTTTCTAGGAGTGGAAGGCCCATGTTACTATGAATCTAAGACTTTCTTGTAAACTTCATTTTTTTCATGTTTCTGTAAAAAGTCTCAAATACAAGAGAGATAACAGCTTCTCTTTAACAGCATGTGACAAACTTAGACCAGCTTTTCATTCAGAATATAACTGATGCAGAGAAAAGGATAAATAGAAGGCCAGAAAGTAAGGATAAATAAATAAAGCTGGAAATTTCTACAGATGAAATGGTACAGTCAGATTTGTATGTTTACAACTTTGTAACAATATCTACATTTCTGAGCTCCTCCAAAAGAAACGGCAAACACCTTCAAATCCTTATATCTCTCACTGGGAGCAAAATAGACCACACAGGTAGCAAGCAATCTGTTACACAGATGAAAGTGTTCAAAGCAGCTTCCTTTCCCTCTCCTGGCAAAGCTACCAGAATACTTCAGCACTACTCTGGAATCTGCCAGGTTGACACTACATACCACCACTGCAAAGCATTCTGGTTCAGTTTGCAATGTTCTAAAGAGAAATAAAATAACCCAGTATGAGCAAAAGGGCTTTATCAGTGACTAAGGCAAGATACCTGGACACGACAAGGCAAAACCACTTTTATGCCTTCCTGCTAATTATTTGGCCCTTCCAATAATAACACATGAGAGAGCATCTCAGCTATTTTAGATTTTTTTTTAAGATGGACTTTTCTGCCTCTCTATTTATATTGTCCCGACCACAAGCAGGGGTATCACTCACAAGTATCACTCACTCACTTTCCTTCTTAACAGCACACATCTTAGGTCTTCCGTACCATGAATGAGAGGGAAAAAGCCCACAAGGCAGGAAAGAGAGAACACGTCACATTTAATTTTACACTACTGCAGTAAGGAAAGAAATACAACATCTGCAAAAATGGTTATATAAGAATTTAAATATAAAATCTCTTTTCCCCATCAAAAGCACAAAGTTATAGAATGTCAATTTACATTTCATTTAATTCAGGTTTTGCATATTATTTTATACTCACCCACAATAAATGGTGTCAATGTTTATATTGTATTTAAATCCATTGAGCTGGCCTTCTTTGGATTAAACTAGTAAAGTTATAAAAGATACAAATTTAAATCCTATTAAAACTGCAGTCTCTCTCTACAGGAAAACCAATACAAATAAAAGCTAAAAAGGCAAGTTTCTTTATATTGTTAGCTTCTCAAAGGAAAAGATTTAACAGTATTGCATTTTATATATAAACATTAAGATGTTAATGGAATAATATGAAGCCATCAAATGCTATTAATCAGAATTCAGATCAGTAAGAAAAGGTAGTGGAAAAACATTGTTCCAGCTCTTACAGTGCCTCATAAGAAAACTTCTTGTCACTTTACTTTTTATATAAAGGAATCAAAAAATATCTTCCAGACCTGGCAAAATCCAGGCTGTTTTTTGATTATATCAAAATAGACATTTACACTAATATATTTACATTATCCTCTCCATAAGGACGTTTCTGCTGTACTGAAGCAGCTAGAGCATGGTGGCCTTCCTCAACACACCTGAAGTATGATCTATTTTTTACTGCAATTCATAAGAAACCACAATTAAATCACACTTCTAAAAACTGTAGCATGATATTGTAATACGACTAAATATCACTCTGTCCCAACCCCACATAGCATCAAACCCTGCTTTAGTTATATCAAGGGATTCTGAGAAAATGACAGCTCCTTTTCTGGAACACTACTCTTGGGCTATGGCTTTCAGTATGTCACTCTTAAACTGCTCATAGCTATTCTTTTAAAGACTTATTTATTTTACTTTTAAAAATTCAGTTCATCTCTAGAATGGCTTCTGTACATGATTTTGTTTGTTTTTCTGCTATGATTCTGCTGTGGGTAATGTAAAATGCATTTCTATCAGACTTATTTTTGTCATGGGTTTTGCTTTTCAGAGGTTCAGCATTTTAAATTATATCTGAAGATACCAGTTTTTAAATCTGTTACGTTCATCCATATCTGTTCTGCATTCCATTGAGAAAAGCCAAGAGCACTGGGTGCCTGAACACTTTAGGAATACTACAGATGTTTGAGGACAGAGCACCCTACCTCTTGCTCTGGAAAGGAAGAATTGTTGGTGTGATACAGCAGTCAGATCACTCCAAATTTGTTACCTATTTCTCTCACATTACAAAAAGCTACATCTGGAAGGTATTATTTCCTGGCTTCTTTGCAACCCCAAACAAACTTTTATAAGACAACAAAAAGGTGACAGATAGCAGCTGATACCACTGCTGTAAGCACAAACAGAAGTACAGTCCATACATACACACTGCGGTACTTGGGAGTGCTTTAGTACTTGACTTTTTGTCTGTCTCTTGACTCTTTCCTGGGACAAGCCCAGGCAAGCAGCAGGCCTCACCCTCTGACTACAATTTTCCTGTAAAGGAAATCAAAAGGTACATCTCAAAGGAGTCACAGCATGCCATGAATATATGAATAGGTGATCAGGACACCAGGATCCAGAACGTGCTGCAGTACGCATAAAAAGGTAAGTCAAGATATAGGCAAAAGGACTACGGAAAGAATATTTACAGCTCTCAACATGCATATCTTTTGTAACTTAACTGTTGTTAGATTAAATGCTTAGAGATTGAGCAAGTATTCTGGGAAAGCATCACTATGGGTTGGTGTGCCCATTTATGCTTCACTTGACGTCTACTTTGGCACTATCTGATACAGGATTTAAGTAACTTTCAGTTTCACTTAGTACCAGCCATTTTTGTGGTCTTATGTTTACGAAATGGGGTTAGAAAAAGTGCACATAATTGATACTTTTTGCATTTAGCAAGAAAGTTTTCAGAAATTGGTATAATATTTCCACCTGTGTATTTTGGTTTGTAAACAAATGGAAGAGTGATAAGCCCTAGGTAAAGATTTGAGATCATTTGGATTTAGAAAAGAGAAAGCAAATAATTTCTTGAAATTTGGAAGGGTGTACTCAAAAGGAGAGATGAATGTTCCAGCCCAACTGTGGATAATAATTTTAGGCTTAGATTCATTCCACTAGCTACAAGCATTTACTGGGTGGTCTGCTATGAAGGCAGTCATCCTAGCGTCTCTCTACAATCAACAACAACAAGAAAACAATAGACACCTGCATAACATGATTAAAATCCAAAGTGATTAAATTACTTCCTGAGTTTACCTGTCTCTTTCTAATGACTAGAAGAAGCATAGAGTGACTTGTCTACGAACACAGCACCTTTGGCTGTGGTTTCACTTACAGCAGGAGGGCTGTTTCAGCCACCATGGCTCTGCCCTGCTCTCCCTTCCCTGACCATTCATACTTGTACAAATGTTTGTGCAGCAAATGTTGTGCAACGGTGAACTGGGATAGGGACTTGATCTGGATAAACCAGAGGGAAGCAAAGTTATTTTTCAGCCAGATAATTTTCCAAATCAGGTTCACCATGCAGCTGTAGAATGGTTGTGTGGACAACAAAAGGAACGATACAGAGATGGGGAAAAGCGGCTAAAGGAAAGATGAAGAAGGCACAGATTGCTTAGGCTGGCATTTTGGAACCCCAGCTTCGCTTAAGGTCAAGAGTCCAGTAAAAAAGCCTTTAGGTTTTTTAATATCAACCAAAAATATCATAGCCCCATTATCCAAAGCACTGATCCACTATAAATTCATTCTGCTGGCTTAAGTACTTTAACAATTTTGAATGGTCATTTTTATAGTGATTAGCTATTGTTACTCACGTCAAATCAGTTATTATCACTATTTCTCTCCCATTGGCTGGCATAAAGACAGCATAAAAGCATAAAGCTACTGAACTTTGAGTCGTGCACTCTGCCTAATTCAACAGATAAGTAAGTGATCATGTGTACATATTTGATTCAGGTCAAATATGTTGCTGGGCAGTATGTCAATGCATAGATCTTGGTATTAATTACTGTGGAACCACAGCCAGAGTACCTAGAGTTAGACAGGAAGAGCCCAAATCTCAGCATACTGAGACATGTCCTGTTAAATGTAGCTCCAGAACCAGGTAACATTTTAGAATGTTTCTCTAAAATAACATTTCAGAAAACATAAAACGTAACAAGATTTTCCAAAACTTAACTTCACTGTACATAGAAATGCTTAGACCTATAAAACTAACCTTGTGAAATTGCTCACATATTAAAATGACTTACAACATAGAGCACTGTATAGAAAATGTTGAACCAGCAACAGATGTAATGCTATTTTTTAAAGTTCAAGTGAACAGCAAACAGAGTAATGTATCTTTTGCTCTGTACTGGTTTAACATTGAGTGAGACAGTAACATTTATTTAACATAATGGAAGATTCAAAACATTGGATGTTCTAATGTCTGACTTCAGTACAGCTCAGCGCTGAAAAACAAGCGTTTTCAGTGTAACTGATTAAGCACTTTGCTCCTAGACACAGCACGCTGCCAAAGACAGCCATGAAACAAAAACATGTCATAATAGGCGGGAGACTAGATAACAGTCATTAGCCCCCACTGTGAAAACAAAGCAGTCTGCAGGCAGGTTGGACTGATGGGACTGATCTGCTCTGCAGCCTTCCCAGAATTCTGCGATACAACAGGCAAAGCCACCTCAGGTGTAAATCCCTGGTCTAAACAGAACTAGCCACAGATTATAATTTGGCTCTATTTTCAAGCACACAATTCAATTACGCACTTAATTGTGTCATTAGCCCAAATTGGAGAGTGAACAAAAATATTGCACGCTAAGATATTTTTAAATGTCCAGAAAAAAAATGAAGCACTGCTACTTTTAATAAAACCTAGCTTAAACCCCAGCACTTAACTGCCAACAAAAATATATGAGATCATGCTTTACCTTGCAGGATATCTGTCTGGAGGTCATAAAATATACACTCCAATTCAGAGATAAAATGCTTGACTCAAATTCAAATTCACTGAAATCACTGGCAGTACAGCAAGATTAAACTTAAACTGACATATCTGAAGCTGAATAATCTTAAATTATATTGATAGAATTTAAAATGTTATATTCAGTTGATTGAACTGCTACATGAAAATCTGTAAGTCAACTCACTGTGTGAATGACTGGTCGAGGGGTCTCTTCATCTGACAAATGCTCCAGTCAGAACAGTAATCTGTTCTTCACTCCAGAAGCTGAGAGGTTACAAAATGAAGTCCCCAAACCAAATGAAAACAGATTCTAACTGAAATATATCCTAGTTTCACTGCAGTAATCCACTTGAATAATTTCCTAATTTGTTCAAAGGAGCAGGTACCAAAATGTCATATTTACATTCATATTTTATGGAAGTTAAACCAAGCAACTACAGGAAAAATTACATAATTGTTGAATCTCTTTTGACCTCACCAAAAAATACTGAGAAAATATACTGACGTACACAACTAGTTTTAGTTCACCAAATGTTAGTTTGTTCTAAAAGTTTAAAATAGCTAAACACATTTTACGAATATTTTATTTCTATTCATGCTCTAAAAGTCTTTTCATCTTGACTGAGAGAAGGGAAAGGCAGGAATCTTAGCTAAGTGAAACACTGCTTCCTATGAAATTTGTAAAACCCGTTAGCACTGATATATTAGAATTACTGGGCAGACTGCATAATAATCGTATCTTGTCATCTTGTTCACTATTCTCAAAATATCCTGTACGATGAGTCATAGTTGAATAACATCTTACTATATCCTTCCCCTCAGAACACAATGGCTTACAGAGCTGGCATGCTCATTCAAACTGTCATGAGCCTGGCCTGAGCTGATTTTTGATTCTTAACTGATAAAAGCATCATAAAAGCAACAAAAGATATTCTGATCAAGTCTTAATTTATAGCTAACCCCCAAATAGGAAAGGAGGGTAAGGACTGCCTGTGTAAGACACACTTCCTCTCTCCTCACATGGGTAAAGTGGCATATGTACAACATTACTTAGTCTTGACCTTTTGGGGTTATGCTCTTCCAAACGAGGAAGACAGATTCTTGACACAGTCTTCCGTCAGTTATGGTCTGTTACCGTTACTTTACCTTGGTAAACTGAAGTCTGTGAACGCAATAGAAAGTGAAATGAAAGTGAAGCCTTTTCTAATGACAAGTCCTAAAAAAAGTATGTGTTATATTATTTTTTAAAACCTTGCAAACAGCTTAATGTTTAGCTATTCTTCTTACTGTCTATGTACAGTAATTCTGTGATTCCTATTCAGAACAGTTTATTTGACAGAGTAGGCTGAATTAGAATATTAATTTATCTTATCTTTGTGACAAGAAAGCTTGGGCTGCCTTAACTCATTCTCTCAGCCTCTAGGAGAGGACATGGAGATCTTACCTCTCTTTTTTTCTATTTCCTGAAGCAGCAGGATATTGGAAATGATGTGTGTTCGGTGGACTTGGTTTTCAACTCCCATTTTCCTAAGATCAACCTCTGTAAGACGGAGTAGGTCCTGCAGTAAACGCGAGAGTCAGGAAAATACTATACCTCTCAGTCCAGGAGTAATTCGAATTTCTTTCAGACAAGTTTGGCATTTCTGATACTGTAAGCTAAGTAACAGCAAGCCTAAGTATGTTTAGGTGTTACATGAAAACTGTTTGTAGTGATAAGCTATGTCAATAAAGGGATGAAGCATTTTTCTTTAAAACACACAATTCCTTGTCTCTAAATTCTTTCCAAAGCAGAACTGGTCAAGATGGCTGGAGAGTTTATAAAAACTAAGACTTCTTTGAACAAAAACCCAGAACTGCTAATATGCTGGTTGCCCTTAGGGTCATGAAGGAAGATGCATCTCAGAGTGAACAATAATATTGTAAAGGAAGGTTTTGGATAATCAAGAGACTACTTAATGTAATTAATAGACAGCAGGGACTGTTACCCTGTTTTGAGTAATAAGAAGTTCCATTTAATGTGTTTAGGTAATTAAAACTGAACCGTTCTGTCTTCTTCTCCCTTCACTCCACAAAATCTTTACTAGCTTATCCCCAAAATAAGCTGCTGAGTAATTCAAGACATTATTTATAAGTATGTACAGAATTTCAATGTGATGTTAACATCTTTCAGAGTAAAAAGAAAACAAATTCAAAATAAAAATTTAGAATCAAATATATTTCTTCTCATTTTTACTTTTCTGTATCTTGTCTGTAAATTAGATAAAGAGAATTCCATAGAACATACTTCATTTTATTACTGGCAAGTGGTACTCAGAAAGGTGGACTTTTTATGGAGATTTGACAGCTTGGGTCTAGGACCATAAAGTACAAACCATGTTATTACAGTGTATAATAATCAGGATGACTGACACAGAATTCCTATTGTAAGTTGAGCCATAGTTTCAGAAATTGTCACTTTTAATTCTTTCTTTTAAACTAAAATGAATGCATAGGCACAACATTATCGGTTTTAGACTGAGTAATCCTCTAATTGCTGAAAGCCTCCATTTTTTATGTCACTACCTAAGGCCGTTTTAGACGCTGTGAGGGAAGATCTAGCTCTATGTTTGAAAATGTAATATTAAGTGCGTTTCCTAAATGATACATCATATGTATCTAATGACATGAAAGAAAGGCAATGAATAGTTATCATTCTTATTTTATGCCTTTCTTTGTTAACCCAACACAGTTCAGTAGAAAGGATTTTTAAACTTTGGCAGCAGTGACGGAGGCCCCCTCCCCTTCCCTCAAAAAAAAAAAAAAAAAAACCTAAGATGGCCCAAACACACATAAACAAATAGAAATGTGATATGCCCGCTCTTCAAACTTTGGCAAAAACATTTTAAGGGGAAACACAAAAAGGGTTGTCCAGTAATGAACAGCACATGCTCAAGGTAGCACAGTGGGAGCCTTTACAGTAGTATTTTGAGCTTTTTTAGTAGCTTTAAAGAAACTGCTACATTTTTGCAGCAGAGAATAGTAATACGTCAAAAATTTATTTGTCAGGGAGAACAGTCTGCTAACCTTGAAGCTTTCTTGCTTCATTCAAGATCATAAGCAACACTTTCTGGTCTTGAACTGGCTAGAGCAGCCATTTCTTCCCATCTTCTACCACCATGAATTTACTACTTAGCTAAGACTAATTTAATTCCAGAAACTGCATCACTTTCCTCAGCAAAATGGATATAATCATACCTTCTACTGTAGAGATAAAAATCCCAATGTAAACAGTTATTAATAATTATTTTTTAAGGTAGAAGACATCAAAAGCAACTACTTAGACTTCCAAGAACTTAGGAACTCAGTTCAACATGGTTCTTAAGCACGTGCCTAGTACTAAGCAAGCTAGCAACTATGTGAAGTCTAGGTAAGTCAGCAATCTTCTTAAATTACAGTTATGATTCAGGGAAGGATTCAATTTGGCTGAGGAACTAAGAAATGATATAATAACTGTCCATCGAACGAATTCTACAGAAATTGCAGAACTGAAAGATTGACTTGTGGCCCTGAACTTAGAGAGTCCACTGTATTCAAAATGATGCACTAAGCCTATTTCTCAGTTTTACACTTCAACAAAAACTTTTCAAAGCCAGCTTTCAGGCCCATTAAAGCTGTAAGCTATTTTTGCTGCAAGCTTTTTCAGTTTGCTGGCAACTCAGCTGTCCCAAAGATCTACGTAACCATCTTCCGTGTTACAAAGGTAGTGTGAATCACATAATAACATTTTTCAATGTGCGTCTAAGTTTTATTGACTGAGTACACCTTGGAACGCAGAAATGTCCTTTTCCTTGTTGGGACAAATTCTGCGTTATATTTGAAATCCTTTTATCTTTATTTTGTTTGGATTATAAGATTACCCTGACACTCATTAAGAACTCTAGTACACCAGCAGCACATATGTGATGCAGAAGACAGGTTTAATTAAACTTTATTGCCACTTCATAGAACTTTGATTAGGGACAAAAAAATTACTAAAAAATTAAATTGCTCATAAATGAATCCAGTGATATCTTGAGTTGATGACAATACTTAGTTATATTTTCTGTATTTATTTTCAGAATTAGGAATACCGAGAGACAGGAATTAAAACATGTCAAAAGTAGTATTTAATTTATGATACTCTCTGTATATGTCAGTAAGTTCATACATGCATAATAAGGACTAAAACTACAAAATGGACAATACAGAGGAAAGTCTAATTTTGACCAAGTAAAACCTGTGGGAAAAGGCCTCAAGAATTTCCAAATACATTTCTAGGGATCTTCAAGATTACTGATGTTAAGTTCTACTGTAATGTGGTACTTGCTCAATACTGAAGACTACTTTTAGCCACATAATATCCATCCACCTATAAAAACTACATACAACAATTAACATGTGAACGTTTCTTAAAATTCAGGACTAGACAAAATATGAAGAAATTAATTATTTAACTTTTGCAGAACAAAAATTATCTATGTGTTCTTGCTCTGATAAACATGCTCATTAATTACAACGTGAGACAGCCCTGACTGATATAGGACCAGCAGCATTAGAAACAGTAAAAAGTTCATTTTATCTAGCTCACTGGCTAAGTGATTGCATTTTACTGAGTTTTAGCACACAGTTACAACATGCATTGCTTTTATTTTCCCCTTTCCTAAGACAAAAGGAAAGTGTCAGCCTTTAGTTTTTTGCTCCAACATTAAGCCATTTTATAACAGACTGTGGTCCTGAGAATTTCTGAACAATTTTATTGAAAAGGCCAATTCTTACCTCTACACCATTATATTGTTCAAAGAGTGTGCAATATTCTGGGAGACCAAGCTGGGTCAGCCAGTTAGAAATGGACAGATGCTTCGTTACCTTTCCCCTCATCTCACAATCACATTGACTCTGAAAGACAATAAAACAAAAAAGCCCCACAAACCTCAGTTACAATATTATTGCTTGCAAATATTAAATGACTCAACATCTTGGAGAGCACTTAATAGCATGTAAATTCTGCCATTATACCCAAAGAAATTAAGACTTTCTTGGCCATTTTGGAATAGGTAGTTAAAGATTACTTTCTGATGTCTGAGGATCTTCATTCATCATAACCAAAATCAGTGGAAATATGACAACAATTCATGCCAGTTGAGAATCCATGTTTGGTTTACAATTCGTATAAACCGAGAATGTTGAAGAATGTGCTTTATTTAGCTCTCATGACTAAAGTAACCTTTTAGAAGATGAATGGAGTCCCTCGGTGCTATAGTATCAGTAAAAAATGTTCAGCCTTTGTATTCATGGAGAATGTTCCTCAATATGCTCATTCATTGGTAATACTATTCCTCCTAAACGTGTAACATATGAGAAAATGTAGACAATGAAGAGAAATAGCAAAAGATATTCATGGGAACGCAAAGAAAGTGAATGAAACTGCATGTTCTATAAAGTCCCCTCCATGAAAAGGATTCTGTGGTGGGTGCTTGTCCAAGATGTGAACGCAGCTGAAGTCAACCTATTATGGAGTGTATCTATAACGTAAGTAACACAGAGATTACTACATTTGATCTCCATCATAATGTTGTCTGAGCTTGAGTTATCTGTAAAAAAGACTATTTTTGTCACTTTTTCTCCTTTTCTCCAACTGCTAAAAATGAAATAAAAGATAGACATTAAAACATTAAATATTCTCCCAATATCAGTGCTCTATGTGAGCATCTACAATACTCACAGCTTCAAAAGAATTGCTCTGAGTTAGTGAAGAGCTTTCTATTGGCAAGTTTGAGCATGTCATAAATTCAAGAAGGCCCAATTCTACACCTATGACTTGTGACCTGAAAATTTCAAATCAGAGCACTGCCGCCAGAAGCAGGAATTGCTCATGTTCAGACATATAGTATCTTCAGTCCTACATCTTTGATACTTTTCTTTCATTTGAAGATTTTCCTCTCATACATTGTTCAAGAATAGTACTTGCTCATTAGCACTGTATAAACTAACTGGAATTATGACTTTGCAGCAACAAACCCCTTGTTCCAACATGTCTATCTACTTTAAACGCGTAACTAGAAATTGCCCACAGGCTGACGTGTTATGGTCAGCAAAGAGACATTATTGCTTTGTGTCAGACAATTAGCTGTTTAGCATTGTTATAATTCTTAGAACACTAGAATAGTGTTGAAGCTTCTTCTTTTTTTTTTTTTAATACAAACTACCAAAACATTGTTCCAGAAAAAAAGCAACCCATAATAGAAGTATCACCTGTGTTAAAGTACAACACATTCCTAGGGATATTTAAAAGGATTTAAAAGGATCACAAATCACATTGTGAAATCTTGCTATCCTCCACCCAGATAGACCATTCTATTAGAGATATCACTTGCTTCATTGTAGTTTACTATTGTGAAAATATCACAGGCCATGGCTGGCAATTTAGTATATAAATACTAAAAGAACAGTGGTATTACAGTAACTACTGAAGAGTATCACGTAGAGTAACATCGATCAGAAATGCTAAGCACTTACAGAGCACACCACAAAGAATTTCTCTGAAGAATGTGAAGGCCACAGAGAACATTCTTATACGAGGGGAAGACAAGCTCAGCTGGCTCCTCTGAAATCTTCCTTTTATTGCTTTGTTTTAAATGGGTACTTTCAGACTGCAAGATGGTTAACATGAAAGGCACAGGATTTTCAAGGAGATAAAATGAAAACATAGCTAGTTGGCTAGGACACTGGTAAACCAATGGACAAATAGCTCCCTTCTGGTTCATACACTTCTGCTAACTCTATTACAGACTGAATTTTGCTCTCATAAAGGAATCCATCTTCACAACTGTTTACCAACTTCACTTAGAATATATTTTGTAAAACTGCCGATTTTATATTTCATTTTGAATATTTAGCTTGCATGCTAATACATAGCAATTAAAAATATCTATAAGAATTGGTGAAGAGTCACTGTACTTTTCATTCCAGAACAAACAGAAATTTAGCACTAAGCATGAAAGGAATCCCAGAATTTCCACAGAACAAAACACTCCTTAAACAATACAGTGATAAACAATGGCTATCTAATCTCACTTGGCCAGCTGCGTTTGCTTTGTTATTAGTTTATACCACAGGGGAGAAAAAAATAAAAGGAAATTCAAGTGCAAGCAGAAAATGACATGGTAACTTATGACAAGATACCAAAATACACTGTTTTCAATATACTGCATTTGCATCTTTGAATGTGATTATTTTATGGAGTACTTTTATATGCTATTGACTCTTTGCTGAAGCCTGTGTAGATTTTTCCCTTCTGTTTTGATGAAAAATTTCTTCCTATGTTTGAGGGGGAAAAAAAATCACCTCTCCCCTGTAAGAAGATAACTAGTTGCTGTCCTGATCCTTCTGCTCATGGCAGTTTTGATGAAGAAAAATAACATAAGCATTAACTTAAAAATCTCTTATTTACCAATCCATTGTTTATTGGGTAGAGGGTACAACCTAGTGGTCAGGATATGAGAGGGAGAGAGATTCAGTGTCTGACCAAAGAAAGAATAAAACAGGATTACAACTAAACTGTAAAAGAAAACGTCTGTGGAAAAGACCCTAAATGCATCATTATGAGAACTGGTTTTAGGCTGAGGAAATTTACCATTATTCTTCTACTTTAAATGATTTATTTTTATTTCTGAAAATAGGACTAACTCTTGCTGAGGGCAGGTAATGCCAGCATTTTTTACCATCCAAAATACGATTACAAAAACACTGGCAAGGTATGCAGCAGATGTTGGGCGCATGTTTTTCCCACTGAGGAATGCATGTCCAATAACCAGAGGACAGGAAGGAAACAAAAATATAAGACAGAATGTGCTGGAGGGGGTTGTGGGATCTATATTCTATTTCCCTATCCTAAAAACTGACTCTTTCTGTACAGCTGAGGTTTCCTGTAATACAGAAATCATGATAAGTTTACTTAGGTCATCTAGTTTTTATGGGATGAAGCCATGGTTGAAGCTCCAAGCCATGGTTGAAGCTCCACAGCTTGCTTCTCTTTATTCAGTGAGAGTATTTCCTCTGTTCTGTAGCTGTACAGAAATATACTAGTTATTATTAAACAAGCTCATGAATGAAATTTACTAGTAAAGTGATAGTATTTCGAAATACTGTATACATTGTATATATATGTATCTATATGGAAGGTCTTTCATTATTGCCCACACCATACATATAATTTCAGAATTTTACATCAATATAAAAAATTCAAATTCAATCTGGGTTTGTAGAGTTCTGTTTCTGAACACTGGCTATGCAGAGGCCTGTATGAAATGAAGTTGCCGTCAGAGTAATCCAGTGGGTAATTTCTCCCCGAGGTGGCAAGAAGGAAGAGGAGGTTCCTAGGATGGCATTCTACTCTATCAAACTTACGAATTCTGCTTCCACTTTCTGCTTGTTTTTCTAGAATATCTTTACAACATTTAAACTGTTGTAGCCATACCTATTGGACCATAACTGAAGTAAAAGCAGAATGAAAAGTGCTTTACATGCAATTTTTAAATGTAACTGCTTATATTCTAATGCCAATAATATATTCTATGCCAATATTTTATTAATTTCCTTCTTTCCTCTATCATATTAATCCAGGACTATCAAAGGATGCTGATGATGATTTTATCTTGCTCTACTCCAGGTACAAGGTACTCATTCATGAGAAACGTAATTTTCTCCAGGATGTGTGACCACATTAATGGTGAACTGCCAGCGTCCACAGGCCTTGTCCTACTAGCACATTGCCTTAAATGAAAAGCTGCAGAGATTTTTTAGTTAGGAATTAAGCACGGTTCTAGTCTAATAAAGCTACAGATTAGTAGTGAACTGATCGCAAACAATGTATTATGAAGCCATTTCCATCTTTTCTGGTAGCAAAAAGGGAAGGGCATATGCAAGACACGGCAAGAGACAGAAGCAGCAGAAATACCTGAAAAGCAATCCATCAGCAGAAGTAAAATGCCAGACACTGATCAAATAAATATTGTCATGGTACACTAGACAGTCTGGAGAAAGTAATTTTTTGGGCCAAGGACTGTGGCTGAAAGGACTATGACTAATAAAACTGTTTCCCCTACTATGTTAATCCTCTTGTACTCTGAAAATCGGAACTTGGTACATTGTATATAAATTTGATGATATCAAAGGCTATCACCAGTTTCTTCTTCAAACTGGAATAATATGCAAAACCTTGAAGTTGTGGTTAACCCTGAATGAAAAGGAGTAATAGGTGACAACTAGTCATCATGAAAATCTACTACATTCAGACTCCATCAATAAACATCTTACAAGGGAAGAACTACCTACATAAGAAAACGCATGCAAGATAGGCACGTGCTCTACACACAAACTTCCTGCAAATGACATGCAGGGTGGGAAGGGAAAGAGAAGGCATAAGAAGATAACGTGAAAAAATGTGCTCAGTAATGCTGGTTTAACAAAAGAAAACAAAGAAAATAAAAACAATCACAGTAGTACCTCTGATAAATACCTGTTATATCATGTACAGAACACACAAGAAGAGGAAAGATGTGGAGAGAAAAAAAAGAAGCGATCCTATCATTTTAGTTAGGACAGCATAAAGATATGCAATTTAAGTTCATAAAAATCTGTGGCCTAATAAAATGACATACATACTGAATTCTCTTCAAAACCAATTACATCCATTCAGTTCAAAAACATACTTTGGACCTGCTAATGCCTTCTGCACTTTGTGAATCAGCTGTTGACCTACAACTATTCTCAGCATCATGTAAGCATGCAGAGAGGTCAAGCAATAACAAGAGAGCTATCTTGTTATCGTATCACAGCATTGGCAAAGGAGAAAATATGAGGTCAAGCTATTTTCGTAGGAAAGCATATGAAAGAAG